AAAATGCAATTGGATATTGCCAAATGTTTGCAAATGTTGTGAGGAGTATAAATATGCCAAGAATTTGTTCAAATGATGCAAGAATGAAGATTTACGGTTTCAAGAACAAGGCGGGTTGTCGTGCTACTTACAGTGTGTTGAGGTGTCTGAGAATGATCGCTTTTGATCCAAGAAGGTTGAGTGAACAGCCAGGAAGAGATTGGGACCGGTCTAAGCTTCTGAAATTGCCTCTAGCTATGGATTCAAATTCAAGCTTTTTTGTATATTTTTCAAGTTTTGTTTTGCTTCTTTCTGCAGCCTCCAATCCTTGTTTCGTTCCTTGTGGCTTCTTTATGTATGGTACAATGTGCTAGGGTAACAAATATGGCCTGAATCCTTCCACATCAATGCATTGAAATTTGATTTGATTCACTCTTTACAACTTGCCAAATTTTCCAAATTTCAATCTTTTTGCACATCGTATGGTGAGATTCGAGTTTGATGATGATCATGATGATAATTAAGACCTGAAACAACCAAAAAGATCTTAGGTAATCAAAGTTTGGATTTTATATGATTTAATTTGATTTAAAATGAATAAATTCAATAAAAAATAAAATAATAAAAATAGAATATGGGCTCATGGATGAAGCTAGGACACGTGGGCAACTATGCAAGCTCAAATCAGGTGGAAAAACATGGGCCCATTTGACAAAATTTGAAGTTTTGGGGATAGTTGACTTTTGGCAATTTTGCAAAAATGCCCAACTTTAACAATGCATAACTTCTTTAATTTTGAACTTTTGGAAGTGTTCTTGGACTTTTTAGAAAGCTTGATATTTCCTCTAACCAAACCCTTTGGTCTCATCTAATTTTGATATTCCATGCTCAAGTTATAAGCTTTGGCAAAAAGGGTGTTTTTGTTGAATTTCAAAAATGACCTATAATGTCCAAATTTATAACTTCTTGTGACTGCATTTTTTGATCTTGGGGTATGAATATGGATTGTAGGAAATTGCATCCTCTTCAAAATGAGCTTTTGATGGGTCATTTCGCATAAAGCATGAGAAAGTTAAGCTTGGTCAAAGTTGAGTTGACTTTTCCTACAAAACCCTAATTTAGCAACTTTTGAGTCTTGATGAATTTTGAGCAATCCTTGATGAATCATGATCAAATCTTGATCAAATGATGAAATATCCTTCAAAATGAGAATGTTGACAAAAAATATTGAAGTTTTACTGTTTGTAGGTCACAGTTGACTTTTGCCCTAGCACAGTCGATTTGTGGACCCTTTGAGCAATTGATTGAGAAAACTTCCTCTTCAAGGATTGAAATTTGACATGGATGACCTTGAGAACATATTAGGATATTAGGGAGCACTTGAGGTCATTTGGACTCAAGGATATTGTAACATAAAACCCTAATTTGGGGTTGACTGCCTTAGGAGATAGCTTGACTGTCCAACTCTTGAGCAACCTTGAGCCACTTGGAGATTTTTCTTGCAATGTTTTGAGGTATATGAGAGGGAAAATTTTGGGGTACAACACTTGCTATTTTCAAAAAAATCACATGTACTTTCCAAACATCTTTCCAAACTTGAAACATTTTCAAAAGCTCAACACTTTGTATACGTCCTTACGAACGAGAACTATTACAAAGTTTGCCTAAATGATGGCACCTTTTCAAAATACTTTCAGAAACCACACAAAGCACATTTTCCAAACAAAAGCAAGTGATCTAGCAAGTAACTAAGATCCCATGGAAAACCATGGATTAAAAGGGTGCTAATAACTTCCCTTTTCATAATCTACCCCACGAACTCAAGAAAACATCTCTAAAGGTCTTTCCTGTGCTTTTTCACCTTTCCTTTTTGGATAAAAGAAAAGTCGGTGGTGACTCTTGCTAAACCGCAACACTTGCGATCAAAACGCAAAAAACTCAAGTCAATTCTCCCATCGTATCATAGTATCATACCAAAAATCCCCAGTCGATGACCTTCACCTTTTCAATGCCCAGCAAAATCAATACGCCAAGTATAAACCCAACCCTCGTCTGTGTCGGTCTTCAAACACTCATATGTGTCAGTTTCCCAAACACTCATCTGTGTCAGCCTCCCAAACACTCGTCCATGTTTAACCTTTTGATACTCGCCCGTATCTTCTTTTAATACTCGTCCGTATTGATTCAAAAACTCGTCCGTGTTTAACCTTTTGATACTCCCCTGTATCTTCTTTCAATACTCGTCTGTATCTTCTTTCGATACTCGTCCGTATTGATTCAAACACTCGTCCGTGTTTAACCTTTTGATACTCGTCCGTATCTTCTTTCAATACTCGTCTGTATCGATTCAAACACTTGTCTGTGTTTAACCTTTTGATACTCGTCTGTATCTTCTTTCAATACTCGTCCGTATTGATTCAAACACTCGTCTGTGTTTAACCTTTTGATACTCGTCTGTATCTTCTTTCAATACTCGTCCATATTGATTCAAACAACCGTCCGTGTTTAACCTTTTGATACTCGTTCGTATCTTCTTTCAATACTCGTTTGTATTGATTCAAACACTCGTCCGTGTTTAACCTTTCTTGATACTCGTCCGTATCTTCTTTCGATACTCGTTCGTATCGATCCAAACACAAGTTCGATCTCTTCCTTGTATTGGAATGACACTATATTACTAGCCATATCCCTTCCTTGTATTGGCATCCTGCTATGTTACAAGCCAGATCCCTTCCATGTATTGGCATTACACCACGTTACAAGTCTTCTTTGTCCTTGTGATTACATCATGCTACCTTCCAACACTCATCGTGTCAGCTTCTAAACACTCGTCATGTCGTAACCCGTGTTTTCATCTTAGAACCTGAGATCGCCCATAGGCTAGGTTCTTCCCTCAGATCATCTTAGAACCTGAGATCGCCCGTAGGATAGGTTCTTCCTAAAATCATCTTAGAACCTGAGATCACCCGTAGGCTAGGTTCTTCCCATAGATCATCGTTGAACCTGAGATCGCCCGTAGGCTAGGTTCTTCCTCAGATCATCTTCAAACCTGAGATCGCCCGTATGCTAGGTTCTTCCTCAGATCATCTTAGAACCTGAGATCGCCCGTAGGCTAGGTTCTTCCCATATCTCATCGTCGAACCTGAGATCTCCCGTAGGCTAGGTTCTTCCTCATATCATCTTAGAACCTGAGATCGCCCGTAGGCTAGGTTCTTCCTCAAATCATCTTCAAACTTGAGATCGCCCGTAGGCTAGGTTCTTCCCATAGATCATCGTCGAACCTGAGATCACCCGTAGGCTAGGTTCTTCCTAAAATCATCTTAGAACCTGAGATCGCCCGTAGGCTAGGTTCTTCCTTAGATCATCGCCGAACCTGAGATCGCTTCTTGGCTAGGTTCTTCCTCAGATCATCTTTGAACCTGAGATCGCCCGTAGGCTAGGTTCTTCCTCAGATCATCAAACCTGAGATCGCCCGTAGGCTAGGTTCTTCCCATAGATCATCGTCGAACATGAGATCTCCCGTAGGCTAGGTTCTTCCTCAGATCATCTTAGAACATGAGATCGCCCGTAGGCTAGGTTCTTCCCATAGATCATCATCGAACCTGAGATCTCCTGTAGGCTACATTCTTCCTTAGATCATCTTAGAACCTGAGATCGCCTCTTGGCTATGTTCTTTCCATATATCTTGTCTTAGAACCTGAGATCTCCCTTAGGCTAGGTTCTCTGTCAAATCACTCTCATGTTTCACCTTAGGATCGTAGGTCGCCCGTAGAACTCATTCGCTGTCTTTTCATACCAACCATTTGTCTTGTATTGGCATCACTCCACGTTACAAGTCCAATCTCCGTCTCTTCACTGAAAAAACAAAAAAATTCTTCCCCCAGCAAATAAAAAAAAACACTTATACTCTCTCAGGACAAATTTTTGGCATTGATATTTAATCATCTTCTACCTTGACCTCCCGAAAGGCACGTGCCAATCGTACTTTCAAGTATAAGACGATTAAATAGGGGCAACTGTAATACCCCAATTTTGTCCTACCCCTTTTACTTTTATCTGGCTTATGCATTTCGCACTTTTCACATGTATATAACCTTCCATTAGGTCATTTAAAAACTTCATGCATCATTAATCAATCAAATGGGCATAGGATCGGGGATCTTGAATCTAGGTTTTTTTTACTTTGGGACTTTCACCTTCATTCAAGCTTGTTTCTAAGGGTTCCTCCATCAACCATTGGTTGAAAGCTAGGGTTTCTTGTTTAAGCATTGTCGTGAACTTCTTCTTTCATCAAGCTACAAGGATCCCATTTTCATCAAGAGATTCAAGGGTATCTCGAGAAGACTAGGATTTCTCATACATGGTTTGAGCTTGTTAGCATTCATCAATGTAAAGATCATGGATGGGGTTATGTCAAGGGTTTTCCTCTATGATTCAAATCTCATTCATCTTCATCCAAGGATTCTCCAAAGAGTATTGTTTTATGTTAAAATCATCAAGTAAAAAAAGAATTCTTTCAAACCAAACATTTGAAGATAGAGTTTCCGAGGTTTTGATTCATGCTACAAAAGATGAAGTGGTGATTGAGACACTAGCGTGTTGCTTGAGATACAAGTTAACGTGGATGGAAGAGTTGAATTAGGGGTTTTCAGGGAATTTAGGAAAATTCAAACTCGGTTAAAGTTCATATTGGTATTAAAATGAAAGAGGCATTTACTTGGAAATCAAGTCACAATCAAGTTCAAAGTTCATTCAAACATTTGAGGTTTTTTTTAAAGCTTGGTGATCCATTCATAAATGTCAAAGCAAGTTTGGTTATTCAAGACCTTGATGGATCAATGTCCATGACTCATCCAGAAGCGAATACAAAATTAGAGACGGGAGAGAAAGCTACTTGAAGTATTTGGATTTTGTCATTGGAACTCAAAGGTTCTCATTACATCACAAAGTCATCATCATTTTGTCAACATAAGTACAAAAGCAAAGAAAGAAATTAACGAAAGAGAAATTCACTTTGAATACTTGGAAGTTGCCATTATATTATCAAGTATAAGATCATTTCATGGCACCAAAAACATTACACCAAGTTAGAAAGGGCAATTCCAAGTGTCAATAAAAGCCATTACATCAAATTCTGTCACAACTCCATCACCTTACAAGTCCATACTCTTACAAAAGAAATCCCAAATGAAAACTACATAGAAACATTCATAAACCTAACGATTATTCTTCCATCTTTATTTTCTCCATCATTCTTCATGTTTTTTAAGCCTTGTCCTTATCAAACTCTTTGCTTCATTTGCTTTAAGTTACTTTCATGGATCGATGCCTCCTCATGCTTCCGACGACCATGCCTACAACAACTTAAATGCCCGACCGAGCAACTGAAGTTTGTACTGCATTCAACACAAAACAATCATTAATCAAAACCAAGCTAAGGCATTCAAGCCAGTTTCAATGCAATTCAAAGGTATCTAATACTAAGGCATTTAAATATGCAGGGTCAAATATGCCAGCCAATGCAGATCCGGGTTCAAACATGACAAAAATTCGTATGGATCGGCCCTAGCATAAACTAGTAGATTTGATAACTTTCACAAATTAACTTCAAATCATTTTAGCCATACTAACTATAACTGAATCCAATTTACTAACATTTTTTCTATTCTAAGATATTTTCAAACTGATATTTAATAAGCATTAACAGCAACTAACAAGTTCTGATTAACGTTCCAAATTTTCTAACAATTACCAAAAGGCTAATATTTCTGACTCTCAAAACTGACTTTGCAATTTAATTCACTTAACATTCGCATAACCAAACTAACATACTGAGTTGGATTTTCTCTTTTAATTGAAGCTAATACTTAACTAATTTTTCCTCTCCATAACAACTAACAGGAAAAGCAACAGAAAACTAACAAAACTTAACAAAGTGATAACTAACTACCAATTCAGTGAGTTAACACAAGAGATTCATTGAGTTTATCCCAACAAACTCCAAACCTCTTAGCTACTGTGATATAAACCACTAATTACCTAACTGTTATCTCAAAAAAACAGAAAACCATATTTCTAACCTCTAACATTCTAGCATCTCCTAACCATAACAGAATTCTCCATAACTAACTCGTGCTAACCGCATCCAACTGCATAACAGAATTTCTAAATAACCTTTAACAGAAATCCCTAACTAACTGCTAGCCAACAATTAAACTAATATTAATTAACTTCCTAGCAAACTAAAAAAGATTTTTCGAGCTTTGACAAGTTCTCAAAAAAATTTAGTTACAGAACAACAAGAATAACAGAAAAAGATAAATAACTCACAGAGATTTTTTTTCGGGGGGCTCTCTTTTCTTCACCACCATTTTCATTCACAAAGAAAATTCTCGAGGAGCTCTTTCATCTGCATAACTGCTACTGAAGTTGAATCTTCAAGAAACTCTCTCATCTTCCTACAACAAATTGCATCAACAAACTGCACGAATCTTCACCATTCTCTGCAAAACTCATAGCCTTCAACTTACTTTGATATCTCCAAAGCAACACAACTTCATCCCCATATCTCTACTTCAAATCTTCATTCAACAACCTTCAACCGCATCAAATTCGATCACCATTTCTGTAACAAATTCTGCAACAAATCTACGATGTCTTCTCCATACCACAACGACATCGCATCAATATTTTTGCATATGCTTCAATATGCTTCAAATGTCATTACAATAACGTAGTTGAGTTAGACAGAGCGCACAAAGTAACACCGATACATAGAGGCCGAAACGCACAAAAAGCATCAAAACAAAAAAAGTAGAAGAAGAAGTGGAAGAACAGAAATAGAAGAAGAGTGATGAGAAGAGAAAGAGAAGATACATGAACGATTGGGGACGATTAATCGCGACACTAAAAGTAGTTTTGAGTAGAGACTATATTTTGGATCATCGTCGCTCCGCTCCAGTCAGATTTATAGAATTAGGTTTTCGTTATTTCATCGTGATCGAAGGCTATGTGCGTGAAACCGATGATGGAATCAAGAATTTGAGAGGGGGAGAATGCGAATCGGAATCACGATTAGTGAAGAGAGAAGTTTTTGCACCGTAGACCTGAGAGGTGGAGAAGAATCGTACTTCTCGAAGAAGCTGGAAGGTCACGAAACTGTGAACCCTAATCCCTCTCTAACGCAGCGTTTCATCAATTATTATTATTCTTCCCTATTTAATTATCATTGGATTGTTGATTGTGGACCAAATCCCCTTTCCTGGACCATGACATTTTTTTTGGAAACATGATAACATTGTGACAAAAAGCTTCCTGGGATGATTTGATCTATTGGGCCCGTGGCCACCTTTTTTGGCACCTATTGCTTTGGCACAAAACAAAAATCTGATCATGGAGTGGGTTCAAATTTTGCGTGCAACATACCATCAAATTCATCTTGTACCTCCTGGTTTCATTCTTTTTTTAATTATGTGTTTCAATTTTATTTCATCAATGATTTTGCATGGTATTGTCGAACACAATAAATTTGAGTGAGGAGTCTCAAAAAGTTTTGAAGCTAGCTAAGATCATAATTTTTATCAAGGAAATTCAAGGAGATTTTAGTAGAGTTTTCTTATTGCTTGCATGGTTTCGAAGAGGAAACGGACCTTCTCCATTCAGTATCATCGTAACCTCATTTCATTCCTCATTTTGCCTTTTATTGCTTTCTAGATACCATGAGAAGTAGGAAATAAAGAGCGTGCGCTCGAAGTCACTGCTTAAAGACCTATAGCAGGCATTTCTCACTTCATTTTTTATATGTGTTGTGCTTCTGTTTGTTTACTTTCTTGTTGATTGATGAGTCACTCAATTTAGAAATTGAGATCCCGACTTCGCTCTCAGTGCATGCTCCCTATAGGAATTTATCGCCTTGCTTTATTTCTTGTTGATCAATGAGTCACTCAATTTAGAAATTGAGATCACGACTTCGCTCTCATTGCATGTTCCCTATAGGATAGTTTTGGTAGACTTTCTTTGGCATGTTGACCTAGATAGGATCTCTCTAGGTGTGATCTCTTGAGTTTATTAGCTTGTTTGCTTTAACCCTGTACATACCATGTTCCCTTAGGACGTGCTTGCTCCCTTCGGACGCGAGTTAGATCATAGATTGTAAACCATGCATGCTAAGATTAGGTAGACGTTTTCCTTTTGTTAATATAAACCTTAGGACTACCATTATATGATAACATTAGGTTCAGAAATAGGCTAGTCTCCCATAGACTCTTTTCTCTCCCTTTTTGCATCCTTGCATTTAAAACTAACTCATTTTCTTTAGCAAATCATAAAACATGCTAATCATACCTAAACCTTTTTTTAAGGTAATAAAACACAAACCAATTCAAATCTTTTCGTGCGTCCAAGCATCATTTCTCTAAAACCCTTTTCAGGTAAGGACATGATTAATTTACTTCTGTGCCAATGCATAAGTCTCCAAAGGTCGAGCTGCGGCAGAAGGCGGAATTAACTTCGTCCATAAAAACACAAAACAAACAAAAACATGTGAGCCGAACTACGGTAGCTCTGATTCCTCAAAAGGATACATAGGAATTGGGGTAGGGCCCAAGCGATCATAATTTTATTTTCCCTACGTTCTTTTCTCCTTTATTTTGCATGCATTCTCCCTTCAGTAGTAGAGTAAATAGTAAGCATAGATTAAACACACCCATAAGATAAATAACAAGAGTGGATGCCGTAGAATACTACGGGCGTGTGGGGTGCTAATACCTTCCCCTCGCATAACAGACTCCCTTACCCGATCTCTCGGTCGCAAGACCGTGACTTCTCCCTTCTCAAGTTTTCTTGATGTTTACCTTTCCCTACATGTGGGATAAAAGACGTTCGATGGCGACTTCATTGTTTGATTTTTTTCAGCCGGTTGTTTCATCAATATCTCACCACCAGTTGTTACAAAGGCACCTATCTGCATCATTGCCGCAAAGCTAAGTGCTGATACCAGAAGGAAGGAGAAGGTTGTTGAGCCGGTCGTGACAGAAATACCCGTAAAGGACGTTGCTGATGGAGAACCTTCCACTCTTGAGATGGACGAGATCTTGAAGATAATAAAAAGAAGCAACTTCGAGATTATGGAACAGTTGGGGCAAACCCCTTCTAAGATTTCTATGTTATCATTACTACTCTGTTCTGATGCCCATGCTCGGACATTAATCAAGTTCTTGAAAAAGGCTCATGTCCCTCATGAGACCACAACAGACCAATTTGAGAATTGCGTGGCAAGCCTGGCGGCTGATAATGGCTTGGGATTTTCAGATGTTGACCTAACACCGTTAGGGAAGAACCACAATAAAGCTCTACATATTTCTGTCGAGTGCAAGGGGACCACCCTAGCACATGTTCTAGTCGACACTGGTTCTTCTCTAAATGTTCTACCCAAAAGGGCGTTAGACCGTCTAGACTGTAAAGGTTTTGTCTTGAAGCCAAGTGATATCATTGTAAGGGCGTTCAATGGTTCAAAGAGGACAGTTCATGGAGAAGTAGATCTTCCAATCAAGGTGGGCTCACAAATTTTAAATTCCACCTTCTACATCATGGACATCTGTCCTGCCTATTCTTGTTTGTTGGGTCGCCCTTGGATCCATAAAGCTGGGGCAGTAACCTTAACTCTCAATCAAAAACTCAAATATCCTGTCAAGGGAAGAATTGTCACCATTTGTGGAGAGGAAGAGTTTATGGTAAGCCACCTCAATTCTTTCAAGTACATAGAGATGGATGGATAATTCATTGAGACCCCTTGTCAAGCCTTTGAGGTCGTGCCACCAATGATTGCTGCTACCAAATGTTCCTCTGATGAGTCCAAAACTGTTAAAGTCGTGCCGAAGATGGTTTCAATCAAAGATGCTCATGCGGCAATTGAAGAAGGAAACTATGATACTTGGGGGCAAGTCCTCGATATCCCATTTAAAGCGGAAAATTTTGGTTTGGGCTTCATCGTCAAATCTCAGAAAGAAGTGAGCCATGCTCGTGCAGGAAATCCACCTCTCCGCATTGTAAGCCATGAAGTTAATGTTGTGGGCGATTCAGATGAAGAAGCTGCATTTGAAGATTGGGTGTATCCAACTACAACGGATATGAAGAATTGGCATGCAAAGGACTTTGTGCCCATCTCCTTCATTAAGGAGTAATCTACTTGTTTATTGCTTTATTTCAATTCAAGAACATTCTGTCTGTAATATTTAACAATGACTTTTAAGCCATGTGCCTGACCTGGGGCACTTTGGTCCATTTGTCAAGGGTTTTATTTATGTTTATCTAATCATATGATCATTAAATACAAATCATTGGACTATTTTGAATTC